ACCGTCGTTCTTGCGCCGTTCGACGCAGCTCGCCATACTCTACTTTTGGTATAAAAATGAAGGTATGTTGTTAAGGACTCAAACTTTTAGAAGCGTATTTTGGCGCGTGACGCTGTGACAAAAAAATGGCCCTAAATTCGCAGTGTTTCTCGTTAAAAGCTAATTTGCTGCGAATTTAGAAGAGCTAATAAGAAGCGTCTCGAGCAAAGTTTGTAGAGGAGTAAACGAGAACTGATTGTTAAAAAGGAATCTTTCCAAAGAGCTTTCCATCCCTCAATAATTGTGTTTTATCGTCGTGACGCTGTGACACGCGTTTTTCCCAACAAAGTTCGGAGCACTAACATTGCTCAAAGAGTTTCATTTTCACATCAGACTTAGCTTTAAACATCTAAAATAGACTAAGGTGAAAATAAAGCTGGAAAAATGTTTTCACTTTCTTAGAATTGTGTGAAATTCTTAAAACTTAAAGCTTCATTAAAAAGCTTGTTCTGAGGCTAAACTTTAAAAGAAATATATCATCTTGTAGAGAATTGAATTCTCTATCGATTAATATGGCCTTCCATTTTTATTAGAAAAAGTGTCTAGGTGAAGTAATTGAAAATACAGTTTTCAAAAAATGTAAAACTGGATTTTTAGTACCAAAATTTAACGCTTCTCAAAAACTAATGTAAGATTCCTAATCAGCGTCAAAAACTGCATCTAGTGGTATGCTCCTATCAGTTCTACTCGAAAATAATTTTTTCAAAAACTTGATCAGCGAAATCTCGAGTTACGTGGACAAGCCCTACACTTAAAGATTGCATCATAAAGGACCCTGTCGGATTTGGTGACCATACCTCAATCGAGAAACCAAATATGACATCTTGAAGAGCAGCTTGAGGTGCGTCGAGTGGTATATAGGAAACAATGTTTTCATTAAGTTTCGGACGAACTGGAGTCAATTTACTGGTCCAATGCTATCAGGATAAATCATAATCAATGGCTGATCAATGTTACCCCAGTGTCAGTCGAAGAAGTCTGTGAAAACTATTTCTTATGTGCAATTTTGTAGAGTCCTTTACGGGCTACAAGCTCATATGTTTAACATCTCCAACCATCTCATCTTAACAGAGACAAACGCGATTTTTCATCAACTGGGCATCATCTTTCACGAACAGTCGATAACGATGGGTCTCAATGTATTGAGGTGTGTCAGTCACAGAAGATGCGACCATGCACCAAATCTTGTCATAAATTGCGCACGAGATAGAGCTACAAAATGCACTATTTGGAAGTTCTTCAACAGGGGACCTGGTACTCAAAATTGCCTTGTAATGAAAACTCGTGATCAATTTTTAGGCCCATTCTTTTTTAATTTCGTAAAATTTCAGTTTTTGATCCAGTCATACTTGTTCTTCAAATCTAAGACTGTATTCGTGGTCAGCAAGCAAAACTGCACCAGATGGGTTATATTCGAAGATTTCAGTGTGTAATCACCCTTCCTGTACTCGTCGTATGTCAAATTCTAGTAATGGCTCTCTACTCTCGAAACTTTTTAAGTTTTGCAAACCTATCCAGTTTCTTTTATAGTCGACTTTTTTATTTCAGTAGAAGCGCGACTAAACGAGCTTTAAAAGTACGGGTCGCTTTTTTATTTTTTATTTTGCTTTATTACTAAGAAAATACAGTTTTTCTGAATCAGGAGCGAAAACATCGGAATTCTGTCCGAACTTCTCTATTTTTTCAACCAGAACTCACTTTTTATGCAATTAAAATATCATATTCGGAGTCAGCGTCCAAAACTGAGTCAAACGATATATGTCTCAAAATTTTTCGTTGATTTTCATGTTTCGGTGAAAATCCTAGTAATTTATTCGACGTGAAAATTCGAAAAAAACAAAAGTGGTCAAAAAATTTTGAGACAAGGCTAATCGATCGTTTTTCCGGTTAATTGTGAGATTAACCGTCAGTTTTTCTGTTGTGTTGCTATCGACGTTTTTCGATTTTTCCACCTGAAATGAGATAGTTTAGGGTCACGGACAGACAGAACACGAAAAGCACTCAGTTGTGTATTCTGAGCATGTGTAGATAGAAAATAAAGGAAAACTTTGGCTTAGACAGCAAACATAGTTCTTTTTTTGCATCCCTGATTCTTTCTGAGTGTCCAGGATGCTTAACTATCTCATTTCAGATGGAAAAATCCCAAAAAATCCAAATCGAAAAAAGTCGGTAGTTTCAATATTCGGTATACCGATACACGTGCATACTTAGTCAGTTATTAAAAATAACCATGGTTAACCGCCGGTTTTCGTCCGGTTTTGACAACGTGGGGTGGAAATTCTTAATCGATTTTCTCAAATATGATTGAAACACTTTTTAAAAGTGATTTATCTTTATCTAGTTTAGACAAATCTAAAGATTTTTTGATAAGTTTGGCAGAAAAAGCACAAAATTCTCTTCAAGATGAGATGTAGAACTACTCTCAACACTGTCTCAAAAACTCTTTTGTTGCAACTTCTGTATCAAAATGTAACACATTTTTTCGGTGAAAAGTGATGTAAAACTCCGTTCAGACATAATATTGAGAGTAGTTCTATATCTCATCCTGAAGTGAATTTTGTGCTCTTATCTATATTTAATGATGAAAAGTCGATCTGGCGATGATCTTTCGTTACAGAGATATGTGAAACAGAAAAATTCTTTTTCCATCGTAGAGATAATTTTTATACTCACTGTATGTTTAAGGATCCTCTGGTCAGAAAAATCAATTCCGAGATGAATATATGGGTGGATAGCTCTAAGTCGTCTCTTTTCAACACACTAGTTCTAACGGCTTAAATAAAGGGCGGTTTAGAGCTATATGTAGATCATGTGCGACATCTGCTTTAGCATTTAAAATATATACTTGGACTTCTTTTTTACACAGTATTATAACCAACGTTTATTTTAGTGAAACATTTCAAACAAAAAAAAGCCATGTAATATAACATAATTCTATCTATACAAGTCGAATTGCACACAAAAAAGGTGTAACTCAGCATAAAAGAATTAAACTGTATATACCAAATGCTAAAACAGATGCCGCATATGTTCTACATATGTTTGTCGAATTGTTGATGGTTGACAATCTGTAATAAGGTGTTGCTAACAAATCAAACTAATATTATTCTCCCATGGAAATTTTTTGGCGCCATGTTGTTTTAAAATTTTTCCTAAACCTTTGAAAGTACCCCTCGTCAGAAATAGAAAATCTTCTGGATTATCGAGCGCGCTGAATACGAAAAGCATTTTTCAGCAACTCAAAACCAACTGCATTGTTTTTGTTCCGGTGATATGTAATGCTGCTTTTTACTGAAATATCACCTTCATATGGCAATGGATATGTTTCGCACGTGCCTAAACAGGCTTACCCTAAACAAATTTTTACACTATGCGTGTTGTTCTTACTGTGCTCTAAGAAAGATTTTTCGTACTTTACCGAGAAATGAAGTTAAAATACGTAGAAAACTTTTCTGCGCTTTTTCTCTTTCTCACTTTCTATGACTTTTAAGCACTTGGTTTTATTACATCGATAAACAGAGAGAAAAAATTGAGCATGAGTCTACTAAATGAGCCTACTAAATATTCAGCGTTACAGAAAGTGACTACTCAGTTATGGTGGAAGAGAATGATAAAACAAAGGATTTCTTTTCAAATTCCCACCCATAGACTGCTCGTTACTCCAGCAACGGATGATACAGGATTCTTAACTCTCTCATTTTAAGTTTGTTTGTCACAATATAAAGGAAACAGACTTCTGATATAGGAATTACTTGAAAATTTGTAGTAGGAGCTCTCAAAGTGCATTTGGAATTTTTTGACTAATCATAAGCGAATAGCATGTAATGTCGTCTACAAAGCGAAAAAATTGGGCTGACATCAGTGACTATGTGATCTATATAAAAACATCAGTGAAAAGGACCTCTCCAGACCACAGATAGAACTTGTATTGTTTTGTCGCACGACTTCGCGAAAAAAACGAAAAGAAACTGCAGTTTTTCCATAGATTATGCAAGAAAATCTATTCGCAAGTGATTCAATGGTCATTCTCCGGAGGAAAGAATACATCATTCGTGTTTCTGCGAATAACGCGGAGGGAATTAGCAGGAAAAGAAAATGTCCAGGTGTTTATGAAAGAACTAGAAGAATTTTTCTTCGTGTGCTTTGGAAGAGTCTCTCACAAGATTTTGTTTTTCCTTGTAGATTATCGCAAAGTTTACAAAATGTTTTTCCAGTGGTCAGGAGAGCAGTTGTCTCTCTGAAAAAATACCAGAGAGAATTGTAAATAATTATAGTTCGCAGCAGTGTATGTTCCTAAAATTCGAAAGAAATACAGGAACAACTCTTAATTGAAAAATTACGTTCGCCCATTAAATTTATCCGCCAGGTTTTAGAAAACACGAAGGGATAACAGCCTGGGTCGGCATAACACTGTGGCATTAATTCCACACTGTTACGTACTTTTCTGAGAAAGTAAGATGCTTATAACAATGCCTATAACAATAGTGATAAATTGCAAAAACAGCAAAAACTTTCGCCAAAAAATTTCCTACATCGTTCACATAGTTGGACATTTTTAAATTAACGGCAGATTTTTGATACAGTTTTGAATAAAGTAGATTTATTATTATGATGAATGCTGATTTTCATCTGGATTCGAGGTTATTTTCGAACACATACTCATATTAGTATGGAGAGTCTCAAGAATCAGTTTGGGATATGCACTTAAGTTTTTAGGCTTTAACATAAAGTCCATTTTCGTTAGCCGGTTTAGCGACTTTTAAAGATATAAAGGTTCATCATGGTCTCACCAAATGAAGACTGGCGTTTCCACGTTGATGTTGAGTAACCAATAACTATTAGTAGCAACGTTTGACTCTTATGATTTCTGTAATTACAGTTCATACAGTTCGTTTTCGTATATTGTTGAAATAGGCGGTGATGGGTTAACGTTTGTTTGTGATTCCTGAAATAAATGACATTTAAATTGTTTTTAATGCAAGAAATATATAGAATACTCTAGAATCAACTGTAACGTAGACACCAGGAGGGGTTGGCTAAAAACGAAAAACAATCAAGGCGTTAATACGACAATATACGATTACTGACTTGCACCTTGATTGGGGTTTTGTCTTTATCATTTAACTAAAATTATAGAGAAAGGGGAAACATAATTACCATTCTACTTTCACTATCGGTTCTGAAAAGATACTTCGATATGTGGTTGTTTTCGTTTACGACGATTTGTTTTCCGAACTTTAAAAAATATGATCAATCCTCCAACGATCAGGAGAATCACAACAACCGGACATATAACAGAGATGAGGATTACATCACGTTTACTTGTAGAGATCGAACTCGTCGTACCTTCCGAACTAATGAACTAAGTAAAATCAAAGTGAATAATGACGATAAGTGCTGATTTAACATTCAACATCTGAATAACATAGAGGGTGCTTCTATTTTCCTTGTGCTGTTTACATGACTTACTCCTTTTGTTTTATCTTATCATATTTACTCAAAGAAAAGCACTGCGAGAAAAGCTACTACTTCCATTTTACATCCATAGGACTTAGGTACAGTAGTCGGTTTTGCTGAGATATGAGATCAAAATAAACTTAAACTCACATTTCACCCATATTGTTGGCGAAGGTTAAGATAGATATGAAATGTTATCGTAATTCAACTTTTTTCTTTTCACATACCGTAGAGAGTAAAGTTGTAGTGTCAGTTATTAATGTCGTCGTTAGCTCTGTTGAATTCTGGTTATCATTTGCCTAAAATATTTCATGCATACAGGTCCATAAGGTTGTTTTATCGATTGAAATAGTGTCCAAATGCGTGTAAACGACGAAATAACAGAAATGCTTGGAACACGCTGTTTAGCCGTTTAATCGATATATGAAACAAGTTTCAAGCAGTGATTGAACGAGTTTTTGTTATTACGTCGTTTACATGACACGTTTACACTTCTCAGTGGGACTAATACAAAATTCCAACACTTTTAAATAATATAAAAATTTTATACAAAACAAAAACGAATTTTTCTGCCATGTAGTACAAATAACTATAGTAGTGTGCTTATATTATATTATAATATAGAATTTTAAAAAAGTTAACTTTTTAATATTTTATTTAAAATTTTTAAAAACAATTTAAAAGTCTTATAAAAAGTCTCTGGCTTATTAAATTTTTGAAGTAAAATATTATAATATATGACTGTGGCTGTATAAAGTTACGATTGCGGAAAGTAAAATGTTTTTCTATTAGTAGAGAAAATAATAAAATAAAATAAATTCATTAAATCAAAGGAGGGGGCCGTACAAGATTATGAATCGGCCCACTCTCGTTTTTGACTAAAAATGGATCCATATGTAGTAAAAAAGTGCCTCTGTTCCGTTTTCGGTAAAATCAGATACTTCTGTCAGGTAAAAACCGGTTAATTCCTGAACAATAGCATCGCAATCAGCATCGTTAAAAAGCCACCATATGATGAGTACAACAGATTTTCCTCAACTACCTTACACTGAAATGGCAAACTAAACACAGCATTAGATAGCCCGTAAAATTCTCTACAAACTGAGCTACTCAGAATATCTTCACTGGAGCTGATTACCTATGAAACCACTTTTTTTGCAGATCAGATTTTTTCGAAGATCTAGGAAAGACGACCACTAAAATGGATCTCTTGAGTGCTCACTATGTCCATTCAATACTTAAAATAAAATGAAATTGAGTAGGTGACAGAATACAGAATGTCGACGGACATGGGCACGGTGAACAGCATGAAAAACGCAATTTTTTTCTCTTTGTTGTCCGAACTTGTTCTGTCAACATTCAACATTTAGACAAAAACAGGGTCATATTCGGAATCAGGACCAAAAATTGGGTCGAATGACATGGATCAAGAAACCCCATGCGAGGCGTCACAAGAATAGACAAGCGAATTTTATGTGTACGTACAGTGGAAGCCGATAAGGTAATTTCATTTGTTATTGCTAAAAAATTACGTGCATGTTCATGAAAACAAATCACTATACTTCATATGTAGGTTAACCGTATTTCGCCACTTACTAGTCAAATATTCTGATGTAAATGTGGACATTTGACCTGATACTAACTTGTTTTTTCGACGTATGGTGTTTTTCTATTTCAAGAGAGAAAAAAAACATCTTCTCAAATTAAAATATAAAAGTGTATTGACACAAGTGAATGATAATATGAGTCATCGTTTAAATGAATTTGGAGAAAATGAAGAGCAACTTAAGGGAAGTATATACCGTGCTGAAAACTGGAGAAAGAGAGCATGTAGATCAGGTCGTGTAAAGTACGCTTACGGACACTGTCAAAGATTCAGGTTGAGCTTTTATAAACAGTTTTATTATGTTATGATCACTGCTAGAAGTCAGACTAACCAAAAAACATCTTTGTGTTGGAAATATACTCGGTTGTACCGAATGTCATGGAATATCCAGTTGCAACTTTCAACCATTGTAATTTCAGATCTAGAACTAGTGAAGTTCTATCTGAACTAAAAGAAATTTAAACAGAATTTTACCTTTTTTACTCAATTGTTGATATAAACTGTTTTTTTAACTTTTTTTGATAGTTGTAAAGAGAAGAAAGAAATACATCAAAGTTTGGCTGCTAAATCTTTCTACGAAAAAAGAAGAAAAATAGGTAAATAAACACGAAACTAAATCGACAGAATAATGAGAAGAAGATATAGGCAGCACTGTAGGAAGAAACAGAGAGACAATAGCTGTTAAATAAACAGATTAAAAACATAGAGAAAGAGGTATAAAAAAATGCCGGAGGAGTTGTTTTATTTTTGAATTTGATATATTTATTAGAAAATATGTCAGTGAAACGCCCTCTTTTAGTAAAAAAAGTAATGAATACAATAGAGGAATGCAACGATGTATTAATATCTTACAGTGTGTTCAAGAAACTGATACGACAGAAAAGATTATACGACAGAATAGATTATTCGAAGATTATCTTTATTCAATTGCGAACGGAGTAAGAATGTGTCAGAGAAAGTCAAACTGTTAGCAAAAAGGAGAGTAGTTCATCTCTAATTATAGAATGGGCATTAAAGAAAACTACTCAGCGACCACGCCAGCGAGAGTTACAAATACGGTGCCAAGCAGCTAAATATGATAACTAGAGGCGAAGATTTTGTTTAATAACATGCAGCAGCCTTATCACATAACTGATGACGAAAGTGTAGATTACCTGTATAATAAAAAAAATTTTCTGCTTATTAAGGTCGGGGAACGTTGTGAGGTTCAAATAATGATGTATCAGTCCAAAAATATGGGATCCTTTTTCTGCTCTCAGTTGTAACTAAGCTTTATCCTTTATCATAGCCTAGAGATATTATCTTACATATTGCGTTAATTGTTTTCAAGACAGTAATGCATTTAGAGGCTAAGCATTGTGTTAATTATTCGCTGAATACATATAAAAATATTGTCATGAGATGAATCACATAGTATAGCAACATACTGTCTTATAAATCCATCTTTACATGAATGACTTAGATTAACTATGGGTTTTTTTGAAAAATAAATTACAAATCCCAGACGTTCAAATCACGTACTTGTAAACGTCCTGACTCTTCAATGGAACATCTGCAAAGACTGAAAATAGCTTATTTATTAATTCAGACACACAGTTCTGTATACGCGTTTGAAATTTTACTGTACCCCTTATAGTTCTCAAGAAAGCTGTTACAAAAGATGATACGTTTTCGATCTAGAAAGGAAAGACGCAGTTTATTGCGGTATTGCTTCGCGCATCATTAAAAATGTTTTGTCGCTGCGCTGACACTGTTAAATCCGATTTAGAAAAAAAACAGTACTAGCAAGAAACCATTTGCAATAACTTTATGCTATTTCATATGATGTTTCAGTATCAAAAAGTCTATTCTTAGACGAAAACACCGAACATCAGTTCGCCAAGACAACATACAACGAAAATTTTGTTATCGTTCCAATCAATTACTTTTTAAATATGTATGGTTTACGACGAATAGACATTTCCGGGTTAATGCGCCATTTAAACCCATCTGTTCCGAACGCGTTAGCGAACGATCGTTAAAAGAATCGTTTAATCGCGATTTTTTGTCTAACGATTTTTTTGCCCAGGATAGTTATATAACCTTTCAATTGCAACGTAACAGATATTTTGAATAAAATGGTAAATATATTAAACAGTGATGATTGATTCTGAACATGCCCATATGAATTTTATAATGAATACATATTAACGTGAAATTATTTTTAAGATCTTTGTTTTTAATACTCTGATAGATTTTTCAATAGATTAACAATAGAGAAGAACGGCATCTATGGCATAAAATTTAAAGAATCTATCCTATCAGTTAAATCATTAGTGTAGATGAGGAATAGTAAAAGCTGCAGAACGGACTATACAATTGACACTGGTTGGATCACAAGTAAATTATTAACATATGCCTTTTTGTTGAAAACTTATAAAGTAAACCGCAATGACAAATGAAATCAAATGCACAAGAAAATATCCAGAAAGATAGTTTAAACGAATTTTGAATCTTCGATTCGTCCATTAATGTAATAGATTAAAGAGATTAATTGATTCATATGTAAATCATGTTTAATAAATCAGACTTGGTGCGTTGAAGTTATTTGAAAATAGATAAAATAAAAATACTTAATAACCGCTCGTTTCGTAATTTTACCAAAAACTGAAGGTGTCACACATCTATAGTTTTCGATATAGTGGGGGTCATTCTTCTTGAAAACAGAAATAATACTATCTCTCTTCAGCCAAGTTGGAAAATAAGAATGTTTTAGCCTTGCATTAGTGATCTCAGCTGAAATAGGAGTTAGGATCAGAGGTGATTCTTTTCCTATCTTTGATATCAATTTAGGTGCTACAACATTATTTGTTCGTAACTTATTCATTACGTGAAGTACACCGAAAACAAAAATTTGATCTAAACATAGTTTATTTGATTCAACAAAGCTGGCGGACCCAGTAGAGAACAGTCGAAAGGAAAAGTTGGTTATCACATATACTAAAACATACGCTCACATACAATAAAAACACACGCTCACACAGAATCGTAGATGAAGAGAAAATAGAGAAGAAAAAAAAAATAGAGACAGTGAAGAGAGTGTAGAAGTTACAGCACATGACGGGCAAAAACGATTTGTAGTTTTAATATAATATATAACGAAGTTAAAAATTATTTTTATTTTGTTTTTATCTAGTTTCAACACAGATTTATCATGCAGTAAAAAGTGATTGAAATTTATATTTTTGGTATCAAAAACTTCTTGAAAAACATTTATCAATAGCGCACGTTGTGTATTGTATAGAAGACATATTGCGAAAAAGTGTTCTGCTGTTTCACTATTAGATCTATATGCACAACTCGCATCTGTTACAAAATTTCGCTCCAACAAGTCCTGATTCAATTGACTAAAACCTACTCCACATCGCAAAAAGTCGCTTTCTGTCATTCTATCAATAACAGGAGGCAATTTTAATTTAGTGAAGTAGGGTTGTTTCATTTTACATTTGAAAGTGGCATAATTTTTTGATTCTTTTATTACATTTGATAAGCCATTCCACAGTTTAGAAGACGATAGAATAAAAGTCTGTTGTAGATATTCACTTCCTCTTCTTAATGTCGTTACTTGTTGTGTATTATGGCTTCTCAGAGTCATAATAGTAGTTTGTGTTGGAGGTGGAATAAGAGAATGTAAATCAGTTACATCTTTTAATGTTTTATAAAATAAACATAGACGATGAATAGCGAAAAAATCATATTTAATAGGTATAGGTGGAAATACGTCTTCTTTTTCTTGTTTGATAAAAAATGGTACCCATCCTAATTCAGCACGTGCTTTTTCATGTGAGCTACCTCTCATAGCTCAAGAAACGGCCAAACCTGCACTATATTGAAGAGAATGTAATCTGCGAAGATTTGTATCGGTTGTTCCACAGTAGAGTACACTAGCATAATTAATACAGCTTAAAACAAATGCATTATAGACTAAACTTGGCGTTTGACATGATAATTCGCGCCTTAAAAATTTAATAGAACCAACTGTTCTTCCAGTTGAAGTTAATATATTGTCTATATGTGATGTCCAGTCAAGATTATATGTCAAAGTGAGTCCTAAAAGTTTGTGCTCGTCTAAGTAGTTTAAACAGATATTATTTATTGTTAAAGAAGGTATATTAGTGTATATTGTTCATGAGAATAACATTCCTAGACACCTGTTGATGTTTAACGGTAGAATCCAATCAGTTGACCACTAATGTACTAAAGCTAGATCTTTATTCAGTTCTGCCACTGCTGCGACCAGATCCTTAGCATCTACATAGATGGAAACATCGTCAGTAAACAAGAAGCATAAATTAGATAGTGAATTCGGAAGGTCATTTATGTATATTAAAAATATCAGAGGGCCGAGCACGCTGCCTTGTGGCACAGAACATGAAATATCTAATTCTGATGACGTACTGTCATCCATTACTGTCACAATTATGCGGTCGTCTAAGTAACTCTCAAACCATTTAAGTAAAGAGTCGTTTAGACCTGCGCTTCGAAACAAAAATTTGTGTAGGAATAGGCAGTATAACGCTTGATTTTGTGTTAGAAATGTCTTACTTACAAACGTCTACCAATTCTTACTTGATAAATAGACTATTGATGATATTTCACAACAAAATTCTTTTTTTGTATCAATACATGCTTTTTTAAATTTTTTAGTAGCATTTCAGCTTTTCACTTATCAGAATTTCTCTACTCTTTGACCATTTACCACATACTTTATCTCTATTTGTATATAATTTATACAGAAATTCATTAGATATTATCTTTGTTCCATATCATGATCAGTTTATGGAGCATGTGAGACTTAATAACGTCTCAAAAGATTAATTGCGAATCGATACAAACTGTACAGTTTATTTCAGGATTTTTCGTTGGACAAGCGATCTCGGTACAAATAGCACTGTGAATATTTGTTCTTTTTTTTCAGGTGTTTAGTTTCCCTTCGGTTTCTCTTTTGAATTTGATCTTACGCATATTCCATCGCGGTAAAGCCGTCCGTTAAGCATCATACTGATTTAGAACTAACGAGGAAAGGACACTACCTGTCTAATCGCTTTCAGGCTAAGACTCATTGGACAATAGGTAACCGGGTGTGCTGAATCTGAATATGACAACGGTTTTTGCTGCTAGGCCTTGGTAGACTGACTTTTCTACAAAATGAGTTTTCCCGAAACTCTAGAGAATAACCAAAAGCTTTCTTAATGAGGTGCAATTGTAGCCCGGAATTTTCTAATTAAAGTGAGACATCTCCCAATTCTACAAGACCTTTCTTTCCAAAGTTATGGAGTTTACAAGACAAGCCCTAAATGTTCATTGGCACCACAGAGCTACAGAAAGAAAAAGGAAAAATGACTTTAGGGCTTTTCTTGTAAATTCTAGAACTTTGCGAAGAAAGGTCATGTACAGTTGGGAGACGTCTCATTTTAATCAGAAAATTCCGGGCTACAATTGCACCTCATTAAGAAAGCTTTTAGTTATTCTCTAGAGTTTCGGGAAACCTCGTTTTGTAGAAAAGTCAGTCTACCAAGGCCTAGCAGCAAAAACCATTGTCACATTCGGATTCAGCACACCCGGTTACCTATTGTCCAGTGAGTCTTAGCCTGAAAGCGATTAGACAGTTGGTGTTCTTTCCTCGTAAGCAATATTTTTCCACTATTCTATACTTCCGTGCAAGGTCAGAAATATACCTAAACTCAGACGAATTACTTCAACAAATTTTCAACAACCCATGTAAAGAATCCTGAAGTTAATCCTTTATACCTGCACTGATATCAAAATCAATAAGTGATTGAACGAGGATCGTTTTTTCTAAACAAAGTGATTATGTGTGTCCGTCGTTTAACCGCGATAACCGTACGGTAGAACAAAACAAACATTTCTGATTAAAGTAAGACCCCTCTCAACTATGACTTATGTTTTAGTCAAACGTTTCGGGAGTTTTGCTACAAGTCCTAAATTTTGCATGAAACTCTAGTGCCACTGTATCTCCAAAGCGACGTAGACTTTTTCAGCATTTTGTATTTTTACGACCATTCCGTCAAACGAACTGTTAGTTAGCTCGGAGTGGTCGTAAATCAAAGCTGACATATGTGGCTAATCGAGCCTGAGTTTTTGTATATTCGGCCTGATGTTGTATTTCTAGAAACATCATTGTGTAAATTAATAAGACTTTTTCGGTTTTTTTACTCTTGACGACTACCATGATTTGGAAAAGTAAAATATCAGAAATCGGCCCTTAACAGCCTCTAACCCCATGTGATTTCATCATTTCTTAACACTATCTAGGTAGCTTCCAACGGTCCCATTTTCACCTGTGGTAGAACAACATTTGCCGAAACAGTGACGGATAATATTTCGAAAAATTAATCGAACGTATTGACGGCGTGAAGTCAGCGCTGGCTAAAGGTTTCATTTAAACTTGCAGTTATCGAGATGCGTTTCTCACGAGAAGGAACTTTGTACACGTTTCACGATCATTTCTACATCGTCTAAAAACTATTTATAAAACTCTGTATGATGAACTCTTCTGTGGAAAGATTCTCAATCAATATAAATGACATGCATCTTAACTAAAACGATTTCGATGTAACGAAAAACGAGTTTTATTTCAACTATTTTCAACAGGATTTTTCAAGACTTCTTCGAAAATCTACTGTTTTATTTTACAGAAGTTTGTCAACTATTCACGTTTCTTTCCAGTCTCTTTTAGTTCATATCAAAACTAAATCGATCGCCTCAAATTCGTATCCTCTAAATAATTGCTTCGGTCGTCGTCAATTTTAGCCGAGATCAATCATCTAATGCAATCCAGTTTAATTCATTTGAATTTATTAGTGTTGATAGGTCCAGCTCTCACGAAATAGATTGATCTAAAAAAATGAACTCATCCGAACAAAATTGTTCAGACAAATATAAAACCCATTTACAATCCATAAATAATAAAGTACAGATAGATTGTGTTTCATAATCAGATCCAAGAGTACCCTAAACCGTCCCCATATTAGAAGGCCAGTCTGGAGCGAACATTTTTGAAAAACGCCATATAGAGGTAGAGCAGTTTTTCACTCAAAAAAGTGCGACGTGAGAAACCATTATAGAAGGCCATGGCCTTCTATTCTGTGAGGGGGGCGGAGGCTATTAATGTCACTAGTTTTCTACATTGTTCAGAGTCCAAGTCGATGAATCACACACATATATAGCTATTTACATAATAGAAGAAATATTTTTTCGTGGAAAGAGACACGAAAAAAGACAAATCATACTTCTATATCAGTGCACTAACGCCTACTAAAAAAATCAAACGGAGACAGATGCTGTAAAATTCTATTCTATATGCTCTGTTATTTCTTCGCATGCTGTGCATTTTTGAATTACACACACATACACGCTATTTAACTTTAACTGGTTATGAAAGGTGACAGTTTTATCTAAAAGAGAGTAGAAAAATTTCATTATGACAATATGTTGTAGAACAGGTGAACTTTATCTACACGACAATATTTGCATAATACTTTCTTTGTTTGAATGATTTACCTCTTTCTCACACATTGTATAAAAATCATCAGTCTAATACACGTTTGTATATACAGAAGTCGAAAATTATAATCACAGAATGTTTCCACAGATGTACTTTCACTATTGCATGATTTAAAATCGAGCATAGCCCTGCTTATTGTATAGAATATAAAATCTTTTCCAAAAAGATCTGATAGCAATTTACGATCTCTCATAATTCATTTGGTCAAATCAAAATGAAACTTCAGACTACGATAGATAAAGACAAAGGCAAAGTTTATGTTCATGTAAAAAGAATCTAATGGATACATATCATTAAGTATGAGAACAATTGTCAAGTATACAGCTAATAACTTTAGAATAAATTATAAACATAATGACAGATGATTAGAAAGTCATCACGCTTTATTCTTCTTTGCACATTTCGATCCATGCAAATATGAAAATAGAAAAGAGCAAATAAATAATGATTTGCTAGCTCTTGTGATTGTCTATTAAAGCAAATCAGGAGAAATATTCAATAAATAGATAAATTTAGTTTCTATATTCCTCCACAACCAAACATCTGTTACTTTTTCAGAAAAAACATATTCTTTCCATTTGCGTCTAGAGACATAAATAATGACAAATGCGTTAATTCAAGATCAACAGCAGTTATGAACAATAATTTTTAAAATATCTAGTGGATGCATCTTTTCGAAACTTTTCTTTTGTTAAACTTACGATTCTCTCATACTCACTAGGGAACCTCTCGAGGTGATAAAACGTTTTTTAAACTCGGAATCTAGTAGATTATAGGTTATCGCCCATGCTAATTCCGAGTATGACTATGGGGATGGTCCTTAGCTCTTCAAAGATTCGATTTTCCAGAAAGTCGGATCTTCAAAGGGTTAAGGGCCACATCCCTAGTCATATTCGAAATCAGCATGGTCGATAACCTATAACTCACTAGATTCCGAACAAAAAACGTTTTATCACCTCGAGAGGTTCCCTCGTCAGAAATCTATTTTTAAAAGAAACTGCCCACTAATTTCTTTTGAAAATCGCAAGAGAATTTGGCCTATTTTACAGAAATTCTTGTTTTCGTAAACACTGATCTAAACATCCAAATTTGTATCCTGCTCTAACATAGCATCGAATTTTCTTTTTGATATAAGATGAATACGAGTTTTAAAGAGAGAGTAACATTGTAAATGACGACCGTTCTAAGCTAGAATAATGATTTCGAGAAAAATACAAAATACGTTTTTCGAAAAAGTTAATCTTTCTAGAGAAGTTAGATCTGAAAAAAAATTGAATTGTATATATTATTAAAATTTTTTACTACGGTAAATTCGATGGACGTAAACATACGATTTCCTATGTAGAATCGTGAATTATTCCCATTACTTTACTAACGTGACTGGCGTTGTAGACTTTGAAAAAATTTGCTGAAGAATCCGGAAAATGTATTTATGAAAACAAAATAATTAATACAATAGAAAGAGAAGGCTCTTTGGATTCATTGCAATTTTCATTGACTCAAAGTTTGTTTTAATTTTACTATTTCGAAAATCTTAAACTTGTAGCGTTTGAATTTATGTGTACTAAAAAACGGAAGAATTTCTCTTCGTTTTGAGTTGAAAATTACTGTCATAAAAGTTCTATCTTAGCAATTGAATGTATCAGACTGTCATCATAGATCGATGGATAGACAATTCTGACAATTAGATCAACGTTCGGATATTATTTACAGAAGGAATACAAATGTCAATTAATCATACTTAAAGTTTTATAAAGTAAAATTTTGATTTACATGACTTTTTGAATAATCGAATACTAATTCTTAGATTCTTCATTTTATAAATTAGATTTTGATCTCTGGAAATACTCTTACATGCAAAATTCAAGAAAGTTTTACTTTTTCGCTCTTAAAAACAATGAAAATAAAATTTTAAAAGTATATTAACGTATGATTATGGGTTAAAATGTAAATTATCTAAGATAATGAGAATTTATTCTTTGTATACGGTAGTTAAACGATGTACTAGAAATAGTTTGATTGAATATCATCCGAAGACGAATGTTCGTAGGAATTTTGATATCGTTGTTGTGAATAGGCGTTAGATGAATCATGTTGTCGAGACGAAGACACTAGTTCATTATTCGTATAGTTAAATGGTTTTTGCGATTCTCGTTTATCTATCGGATAATTCGGCTGTAGTCGCGATGATGGAACTTGCGGTTGTCTCAGTGGAGTGATGACACTAATATTGCCATTGGTATACGGAACAGGATTCTGTAGTGTATTGGTATATGTGTTAGTGTTAATCTCCACGACTGAAACAATAGAGAAAAATATTAAATTCAAGAACATCTAATACTGACCTTCGAATTCTATAGTCTAGTTTTTTTAGTACAATAATTATAGAAATAATAAAATCAAAAACTTTAAATGAAATAATAATCTTCGTATTCATTGTCTTTAATAATTACCTCGATGATCGGTTTGCGTAATAGGCGGTTCTCTTGCGTTGGACCACTAAAATGTATTTTTACTTGTATTATGCAATATATTACAAAACAATTTCTACCTGTGGTCGAGGTGTAGATGAAGAAGATGTAACTGACGAAGAATCATGGACGGATGATGGTGCTAACTCCCTTTTTACGCCTCGTCTGGTTGATGATGATTTGCGCCAACACAGGATAATGAACAATGCCTAAAGCAAAACAATTTAGTTTATTAACGAAAGAGCAATGACGAATAAACGTTAAATACGTACGATAACCATAAGAAATGAAATACCAGCCAATATAATACTTATTAAAAATATAGCAGTGTACAAGGGTTTACTGATACAAGTGCCGGAAAAAAGTGGAAGGTTGTCGGGTGGAAGACAAGGGGCTAAAAGTGAACATAAAGAAATTATTAAATATAAGATCTATCTCAAAATTTTACCAACACTATTACCTTTTGTTGCACTCATTGCAGCTTAAATCGTGAGCGATATTTTGAGTTTACTAATTCCAAGTATTTCGCTTGATATCTTGTGTAGATTATATTACGAGTTTGAAATAATATAATTATGAATGGCAAAAGTAACTAAATTAACAAAATTAAAATCAGAAAACTTTATCGAGCGAGCACGTCATTTTCAAGGTGAAAGTATCTTATTTATCTTTTTTGTAGACAAGTATATTTAACGTTGAGATATTTCATAGTCTCTCGCATACGTTATTCAATCGATAACATTGCCACATGTCTCTTTGTGGTCAGATTATGCGTGACAACTAATTGCACATACAAGACAGCGAGACACGTACCAAGAACCACAATAAACAACATTATCTTCAATTTCCATTTCAACATGTATCATTTTGAAATTTAATCTTTGTTTCTTCTGAGTTTTAATATGTTATGAAAAACTTTCCTCAAATTTAAAATCTAGAGAGTGAGCTGTATACATAATACGATGTTAAATCGTTACGCACAACATTAGCAATAATCGAACTATCGTATGTATTTCGAAAGAGTCTACAAAGTTAATAAATCTTGACTTGAAAAGTCTTGTTTTTTTTTTAAAATATATAGTTTGCTGTATGTATTCACACACAGTACTGTTATAGTACATGACCGTTCTTATCTTACGAACGACTATTTGAGTAAACAATGTGTTGAAGCAGATTTATTACACATTAAACTAGTTTTTTTTCTTCTATTGAATATTCCTTTTTCCATCATGGGATCACATTAATCCATTAAGGAGAATTCTTCCGTTTGATACTTACAGTTTTGCTATTTCTTATTTAACATTTTATTTTAAAGCGTGAATATACTGATAAATTTTTTTTCTTCTTTTTCGTGTATGTTTCGCGACGTAACTGTTATCAGTTGAAGGCAAACATCAATTCACATTCTAGTTTAAAATATGGTCTCAAGCCGTTGTAAAAAAGACAATCTCAAAGAAGAAAAAACACAATGAAACTGTTATGATCACTGAGATTAATTATGATTTACGCATGATTTGACTATACGAAACTTTTTTTTCTAATCTTATTCATTTTCTCCTACACTAAAATTATATATTAACATCTACTATTACCTAAAGAAAATGTCAAAATAAGTCTTTAAAGTAAAATTTTCCGAGATTATATAACAAAGTATATCATAAAGGTCTACACCGAGTTTGTCTGAAAGAATGAAACCTTCAGAACTAGGTATGCACCAGTATCATTATCTATACTGGTTTGCTGGCCAGTTTTCACTATATGCCCAAAGGGTTTGAGTGTGTAGATCTTCTGAATGTCCAGTATACTGATACGGTGCATACTTTTGGAACAAACAATTTGTAAAATGATTCGGCATCTGGATAAATTGATTTAGTTTAATATACATTTTTTCAGACTGACATGGATTTTTACATGCTATGAAGCATGATATGGAAACTAATAATGAACAGTTTGAGTTTCTTTTTATAATAATATCTGTTTTTGAAGAAAGCAGACTTTTGCAAAAAAGTTTTGATTTCTTTAAAGTTGTAAGTTACACGCTTTAAATCTCCGCCATTACTGGCACTAGTGCAATTCTATGAGCGATTGGCTGATTAGTGTTAACCAAGTATTACAAATCATGAAAGATATGGACTTAAAATTTGCTAATACTGACGCAAGAATTTTCCATGATCGGCCGAAATTTAATTGTCCAAACTTGACAAACTTTGTCGTAGAACACAGCAGCCTTTTGGGACAGCGTTTGCAAAAGAAAACTAGGTAATAACCAAGGGGGTAAAAGCACCACTTCACCACTTAATTTCACTTCACTTCACCTAGGTAAAACGCTGCTGAAACGGTCGAAACAATAAAAAATCACTTCAATTTCACCTCAAGTTAAGCGGCAGTGGTGAAATGGTACTTTCCCTCCCTTGCTTCCCTCCCCTATCAGGGGCGCCGTTTCAGCAGTGAAGTGAAGTGGAATGAAGTAGTGAAGTGGTGCTTTTACCCCCTTGGTAATAACCCAACAGTGAAGATATGCCTTACATCAATCTGACAAGGTTGAACTAAACAAAATGTACGCTGTTATTTTATGTAAAATAATCCACCAGCGTGATATCAAATCCTAGTGTACAAGATCTCTTGAATTTATAGGATTAGGTTGTAAAAAGATTATATCATTTGGGAGATTCAGAGAGACTCACATCTCACTTAGAGACTTGTATATACAGTGCTAATATCTCACCAAGATAGTTATGAGTTACTTAGAGACATAGACTAATTCAAATAAAAATATGGAATTTTATTCTAAAACTGTATATACAAGTCTCTAAGTGAGATGTGAGTCTCTCTGAGACATATGCTTACTCGTACAAAAAGCGGTATTTTTATTCCACCGGGACTACGTATAAGTCTCTAAGCGCATCTCTTAAAGACATGTCCAAACTCTCTTCAACGAATAAAAGGTTGTGCCTTTATTATAAAAGTGTAGAAGGTAAATTCAAGCGTGTATTAGAAAAACATGTTTTGTAAATGTAAAAATATTTTTTGTCGAACAGTGATGCACGTTAATGAACAAAAAAAACTTTATATGAATAAATCATCAACAATTTTTGCTTACAATATCTGAAACCACAAATGTATAACAATAAGTGTTCGCTTTTCTTGTAGTGCTGTGTAGTTTCTTTTGTTCAAATTGCATCAATGTGAGATCACCAAACACACTATAAGATGAATTCTGTGCAGCTTTATGTGCGCAATATATAAAACAATGCGCTGCTCCACTCGTGCATGACTGAGCAGTAAAAGTACGCTTTTGTGTATGCGCATAATTGAGCACGTGCTATCATTTCTATGTTCAGAGCCAGCGCTAATATATATCTTGCTGATTAATATATTTCTCACTTCTGTGCGTCACCTGCCATGATTGTTGACGGAACAGTTAAACAGACAGTTAAAGCTGGCAGTGAGGAAGTGGAAGAAGTTTTCAATTCTATGGATCGAGTTGTATTCGAAATATATACCTCAATTTGGTCAACACCAAATCCGGTCTCAGAACCGATAACAACACCATTAGAGCAAACATCTGAAGCTTAACCATTTGAAAAATTATTTCAGGCGTGCTGCAGAAAGAGTGGTACTACATATCGATACAAATCAACATGGTGGCATTTGAAACATCATACTATACTATATTAAACTTTATATTCATTCTTTTAAACAAATGGCCCACACCGTCAAGGACGAAAGTATAGTTTAGTTTAATGTTATATTGAACGCTTATTACGATTCTAAGGACTAAAGTTCTATATCCACAATGCAGCATACTATCATTTATTTTCTTTATGTCAAAGAATCAATATTTACGTGTTTAATGCGGTGGTGGAATCTTAATTTTAAAACCGTCGCATCCATCAATTATTCTATAAAATTCATATCGAAATATTGACCAGATATTGTAAATATGTAGAAACTACACGAATGACTAATAAACGATATTTATTGTACTAAGTGCAAAAACAAAATTATCTTTTTCTAGTGTCAGAGATGATTTAGGCTTACCTGATGTATATGTTGAGTACAATTTTTGAATAAAAGTAGTAGCTACAATAGAAATAACTTGAAACATGAGCACAATGAGTTGTTGATCTTTCGACCAAGATCACATACGGTTATTGTTGTTGGATCAACTTGATGCCGAATTTTCAGAATATTTCTCACTATTAGAATACTGAATATAGTCATAAAAAATGGTGGAATAATCATGTACCATATCAACTAGAAAAAATCAGCAGATATACGATAAAAACCTTTTGTGTATAACATGCTGGTAACAAACGATTATACTGATCAAGACTTAATTCAATATTAAAATTGAAGGGAACGTGAACAGAGATGAGGGGATAAAAGATAGTTGATATTAAAATGACAGTTGAGGCGATTTTCAATTGACTAAAATGACGGGTTTTTGACTGTTGACTACTCGATGCAAATCTACCGATGCACGAGAGAGCAATGAAGGTCGGAGATAAAGTACGTGCTGTATATGGAATGTAATAACGTAGTTTACAATAGATATTTGAATAAGTGCCCGGATATTCAAACCGCCGGACAATGTTCGCGGTTTTCTTTTTGCAGCTTACTTTTCTAGGAAAATCTCTCTATTGAAAAACCTGATAAATCTAAAAAAGCTTAACTTCTGAACCTATTCTCACAGACCTTAGTTTTTTGGCTAGAAAAGCAGTAAAACGTTTTGAATCCAGGGTTTTAGTCTTACCATCTTACACAGAAATAAATTCTATATTTTTTGATATATAAAGAAAGTTTCTCAGTCCAAATCATTAATTAAAACAATTAATTTAATTTGAAAAAAGTGAAAATCCGGTTGAGAACTAATTTTGACTCCAGTTGACGTAGCGAAAACATTGTGAAGTTGTATATCAGTAAGATCGATATAGCACAAACTTCTGCACAATCATTCTGCATCTAACCATGTATGTGTCGATGGAATTCAAGCAGGGGCCGATTCCATCAAATAATCGCCCCCGTCCTTTTAACGCGGCTCTCAGAGAAAAATTTTCTAAATTAATTAGCACATGTCTCCAAGAGACGTATGGTTGTTAATTAAATTGTTGAACTGATGAATTAAAGTGACTGCATATGTCTCTAACGAACGAGGGAAGGCTCCCAAATGTCCAGAAGCTTTTGGCCCAAAACTTAGTGGACAATAGGTAATCGAGTGTCCTGATTCTGAATATTACATTGGTTTAGGCCCCATTTTAGTTTAAAGACTCGGATTTTGAAATACTGCTTTGTTGAGTCGAAAAACCATTTGCAATAAAAAAGTTTTTGATCCGTGAATATGAAAGAGCATATCGCCAAACCCACGTAAAACTGTCTTTCAAGGTTTTAGAGGATGTTTCGAGCGGGTTTTGAAGGACTAAAACTTAAAACTACACCAAGGAAAACGGATTTTCGCACTTATGCGTTTTGTGCG